AGTGGTCTTAGCTTCTATATATTTCAGGAAAGAACCCCCGGGGTCAATATACTCACATTTGGGGTTTTAAGCCAGTTCGGCCTGCAGTCTTCCGTAGCATATCGCAAAGCACGTTATTAGATACGAGAGAGCCTGGTCGCGCCACACACCGAAGCCGTTGTTAGAGTTTGGTCTATGACCGTGCCGAAAAGCCGGCCCGGCTGACCGCGGCCAAAGAGGGCAATATCGTGCCAAAGCTGAGCAGCCTTTTCCTTCGGGACAGCTCGAGACCGAGCTGTCAACCTGTGATATTGACAGCGGCTCCCCCAGCAGATATAATGGGGGCCAAAATCAAAACAATGTCTGCATAATGGTAGCTGGTTATTTCAGATCTTTGATAGCTGTGATCAGCGCAACGTCGTGCTCACAAGCAAACCCATTCTTCGATTTGCCACTATGTCCCAGCAGGAATCCCAAATGGTGACTCAGTTCCACCCGTCGGGGACCCTATCCCGATGGTCACCTTACCGTCACAGTTGAATGCAAACGCATCTCCTAGTGATGTATCCCTGAACACAACCGGAGGAACTATCTGTCCATCAGCAACTCCGCAGGCACCTCCCACCGGGTCCCCCACGGATGTCTCTCAGGACGCTCCACAGGTTCCTGACTCAACCTCGCCGATTATTGACAACCCAGATGGTACTCTAGACTCTGCATTAATCGCGTGCCCTCCATCATTTGCAGCAAGCCCAATTACGGCTGCTCAGTCTCCAGCTGCTCTAGACACTCCGCAGACGACTGTGCCGCAGTTGGCTACCCAGACACCCGCCCCTCAACCAACTCCGCATTCACCTACCTCGAGTACCCACGACCAACCTCAAACGGCGCCGGCTTCCTCACCATCAACACCGACTACTTCGCATCCTTCAAACACTGTAACCCCTCCAATTTTTCCAGTTGCCTCTCCTCCTTCCAGTCCAACTATCTCAACAGCTCCTGCGCCAACAGAGCCGCCCGGAACCTTGACAGGTGCCCCTTTTACACCCAATGGCGCGCCTCTTCCGAGCAATGTACCAACAAAGGCTTCCCCAATCCACGCAGCCCTGACCGATGGCCTTCTTTGGTCCGTCCTGTGGGCTATGCTCTTGTTTATGTTTGTCTCATTACTCACATGGCAAGCCAAATCCCTTGACTGGCCGCTTGCCAACCTTTCAATTTCGACAGGTATCTTCCTCTTGACGATCCTCGCTAAGCTTACCGACTGGGCCCTTGACAGTTTGGGAAACCTTGGGTGGGAGAAATTGTACTGGGGACCCATCCTTCACCGGAACGCAACTCTCTTGACACATCTCGTCATGACTTCAGGTCTTGCTGGGTGGTGGGTTGCTTTGCGAAATCCGCCGAAAAACGGATCACCCTCGCCATCCCGACTCGTGAACCTACTTCGGCGAGGCCTTTCGGCGCGATGGCCCCAATTTTGGGCCTTCTGGAGGAGAGAAAAGTCTCGCATGGAAAAAGTTTCTGTATCATGTAAATTGACGGCTACGGTGCAGGATAGCTGTCTGGCTCTTGATACAATTTCCTGGCATAATCATCATGTCAGATGCAAGCCCTCGGACGTCCTACCGTCCTGCCGGCTGGTCGACAGTCAGCGGCGGCATGGGCATTTTCAACTCGAGTGATACATTTCAGGTGCCGGGAGATTATGTCACCAACAGTTACATTTTCAACATGCTGCAAGACACCAGAATGGCCAGCAGCACGGAAGCTATCAGCCATGAATGTCGGAATGATCTGACATGCGAGGCGACTCTCCTCGTTGGTGGGCTTAGGTGGATCGCACCGTGGCCTTATATCCAGCTGCCCAGCGATCTCACAGCGTTCTTGACTCGTGACATGCCTGTGTATCAGCTCGAAGGCAGAAACACTACCCTTGACAAGTCCATCTCCTGGGCGACCAGTGAATGTCGGGTCTACCAAGCCGTGGACAGTGCCCTTCAAATCTGCGCAAAGGACAGTAACAAGGGTGGCTCTATTCTTACCGGTGAGTTGAACCTAGCTCAGCATTGACCTCACCGTGCGGCTGACATGCCCATGTTGGGACATCATGAACTAATTCTCGCCCAGGTATTCGAGCCTGCGACCCAGGGAAGCTCGACGATGAAGGCGACTGCTCACTGAACCCTCAATGGCCAGGGTGGGACTCTTTCGTTGCTTTTTCGTCGACGCTGGATATCTACCGCCTGAATATCAGCATGGCCGCCGATCGCCGTAGCAGTGCCATTCTGGAGGTGACGGACAAAGGAAAGCCAACGAGGCAGGATATCCACCCGAGCGAATTCCTCGACGCATTTGACAACCTATTCTGCCCCTTTTCCTCGGACAACTCGACCATTTCAAGGTACTGTGAGACTGGACAGGTTAGGTCTGATGTTACACTTAACCTATGGATGTTTGTGTACTACAACTACCAATCCGAAGGCTTCGAGAACTCGATAGCCGTTGACACGCTGCGCAACATCTACGCCACGGCGCTATTCCTCTATAATCCTGTCTTCCGCGGTGCCGTCTTCGCTCCCAATGCCCCAGCCTTTCTGCGCACGGCGCAAGAGGGCCTTGCCGACGAGAATTACTTTCCGGGGACCCCCGCAAGGAGGTCGTCCCACCTCGCGCCAGCGCCGTGGACGGTGCTGGCCTTTACCGTCTCCGTCGGATTTCTCATTTCAGCCTCGCTTCTAGCGATTTTCTTCGCCCTGTGGTTTAAGCAGCCCCAGCTCTCGGCTTTTGGACCTCTGAACGCGTTCAAAGCCGATATTGTGCAATTCGGACAGGCAGGAAGCCTGGACTTGGATGCACTGGTGACAGGCAAGACGGACAAAGAAGTCGCTCTGGCGACAGATGGCATACGCATCAGGCTCAGGTAGTCTCTCCAGCAGCAGTTATTCTCAATACAGCACCACAATGAACGGCCAACACATTAATTGTAAATTACTACAACAAAAGCCTTCAACCTGGCTTCATGTTGTTTTCATGTTTGGGCCGGGGCTTTCGGCACCCGTCAAGTGCTGTCAACTGCAATCGTTAGAAGGTGGCTAGCGTCCATTTTACGGGACGTCGTGGTCACTTACAAGTGTGTATTTCTGTTTGAATGAAACTACCTCTACCGACAAGACTTACCATAATAATCCCACATCTCTGGCTGGATGTTTAGTTGATCATGTAGGCTGTAAATGTGTACACTTAAGTAATGTCAAACGCTCTGCCGAGCCGAATATCCGACGTCGTTTTTTGGGCACCAACAAGGCAGTTTTAGTTGCACAGTATCAAGTGTTGGAGGGGCCAAGTGCGGAAGAAAGGTGTGTGTATTGAGAAGCCATTCTGCAGGGCAGGAGGGTGCCTGGCACTTAGCCATGGGAGGCACCACAGCTCAGGCCGTCTGGCACCAGGTGGAGGGCACTGACGAAATGAATGCCACCACCAGCATCAACAAGACGTACGTAGCCTGATGGGAGGCAGTGCATACGTGCATGTGGTAAAACTATTGAACGTGATTGTAGAGGCGGGCCTCTTAGGTGGCTTTGGCCAGTGTGGCCGGCCTCCCGCATGACGCCGCGGCCTATCATGACCTTCTCCTTCGCGCCAACCGTGCTGTTGGCGTTCTGATGACACCCAACCAGTCCTGGCTTGAGGCTCCTCCCCTCTATAAACAGCACTGAGGGACTCTCCTGGACCTTCTGGACGGCGATCGAGATGTTTCCGTCAACATGTCAGATGCCTTGCTCGAAAAAATGGTCTCTGCGCAGAAGTCCCCAGCCATCATATGCGCTGAGAATATCGCTCTTTTGCAATTCCTCCACGATGTCCCAACCCAGCCATCCAACAGAAGTCTCCTTGAGCCCGTGAAAAGTGATGACCAATTGCCTCTTTCACTCGAGCACGAGCGGCAACTCACGGGTATCCTAGCGACACTCTCTTCGATTCGCGAAGACGTTGCCCTAATTACCGCCGTTGCCATCCGGCAGCTGAACACGCCTGGCAAACACCATCCGACCTCACTAGAAGTTCTTGTGGCAGTGAATAAATCGAAGCCCTCGGATGGAGAAGACTATCTGGGCTCAGTGTGTGATGGCTTTCGGCGTATATTTGACACACTCTCCCACGCCACCAGAGGTCAGTCAAGCTCCAGGCTCAACTGTTGACGTTTCTCACACACCGGTGAAAGAAAACGATAGCCAGCTAGAGTATCGCGTGTTCACCGACATCGTGTCCATCTGCAAGGAGCGTATCTTGTCACGCCTTCGCTTCGGCAAGCACAAACGGGGAAAGACGAAGGCGCCCCTCAAAAAGCTGCTGCACGACATGTGCGATGCAGTTGCCTCATATAGCTCAAGTAGCCATGGTCACAAACGAGCTTTCACAGATGGAACCCGACGACTCATAGCGGCTTTCAACCAGTTCGAGAAACACCAGACAGACGCAGAGCTTCTGTTACTTGTTGAGGAGGTGGACACCTGGACACGAATGGGAGACTTATTCGATGTGTTTCGCGGGGTCCCATCCTCAGCATTGAATGGTGCTTGCTGCGAAGATTACCGAAGGATTTTCAACAAGATTGGCCAGTACCGTACCGCCGCTCGCCGGCTATACCGTCTAACCCGAAAGGTCGACGCCTTGCGCAGTATTACGATCAAGCCCGTCCATCTCGGGCCTAGTGCTTTCATCCGTCCTGACACGACAGGATACATTCCATCTCTTGTTGACACACTAAGCAGACTATCGGCCAAGAAGACGAAAAAGGGCCTCGCTGCCACGTTGTGCAATTGTATGGGGAAAGCCACTCTCTCGGCAGAGCATGACTTTATGCAAAACACGTTCCGGATTCTCGCCGAATCTAGAATCCACGCTGAAGTCCAAATATTAGTGTATTTGAAGAACCTACCTCCCAATGAGCTCTTTACCACCAGAGTGATTCAGTCGATGAAGAAAGCCTGCTTTTTATGCAACGAAATATTGGCACTTAATAGGAGCCCCAGCGTTCCAAAGAGTCATGGACGCCTATATTCGGGATGGAGACTGCCCGCACTGCCGGGCTTGAAGCACCTTCAGCTCCAGCTCAATGAGTCACTCCAGCGACATGCTTGTAAAAGTATTGAGAGGGTGTTACAGAAGAAGCAGATGATGGCCCTAGTCCACCCTGTTGAGAGCACTGCCCTAACAGTATCGGAGGTCACAGTCGCAGAGGCAGAGACTTTAAGTGCTGTAGCGACATCCTCTGAGCCTGGGGCGCTGGCACAAGGTCAAGGCCGCAAAATTATGCTAGATCCTGCTGAAGATGATGCTACAGACGCATCATCTGCTTTATCTGAGGCGGGTTTGGTCACAATGGCGATGACAACTTCCCCCAGAGACAAACCAAGCAGCATTTCTCAAGACGAAACGAACAGGCGTCAGGATCAGCAGCCCTCGTTTTCTTTGTGCCCGGGAGATACGTCCTTGATCCACAAATTCGGGGAATCGGAAATGTCGATTGAGTATGCTGTGGCCCCAGATCATCCAAAATCAAGCATTCCACTGGTATATCACATCAGGCAACTAGACGAGAAAAACGTCGGCACATTGAAGAGCCAGAAGACGTGTTTCTTTGATGTCATGTCCCTTGACAAAGGTTCTGAAGCCACACTACCGGGACATTCACCTTTCTATATCGGTATGAACGATACTGTCGTCGAGTTGACTTTTCACGGTCGCGATAGGTAGTGTCTTGGTGCCAATCTTTCTTCCTCTGGCTGCAGGTGGGAATGTTACCTCTGTTTCGCTTTGCATATCGCGCATCGGCCAGTAGAAAGGGCTTTTCAAGATTGGGATCAAGCTGGCCTTTGTTACCTGCTAGAAATTATGCTCCTCTTAAGAATGTTGAGTGGTTGATTCTGCCCTTGGCGGAAGGAAGCGACCTACGCACGTTAAATTTCGTTGAACGAGTCTATGTCAACTTCCCCTTGACAAAGCTTCAAGGATTTGTTGACTTCTGCATAACACGTGATCGGGCCGCGTAACTGGTTTTGAGCTTGGGCTACGACATGCAGCAAATGGAAGGGATGAAAGCCCTTCAAGCCGTTATTTATGATGATTCGACCTGATTCAGGTAGATCATTGTCAAACCAGACCTTGGCTGTAGATGCTTTTGTAGCTATCAATGAAAAGCTCACTGCTTCATCACAGCTGAGTGTTACGTCTTTTGGGGTGTGTATGGTTATCTGGCTTGGTCTTCCGAGTAACAGTGTTTCTGGACGAGAGATTCTGGTTTTGACATGTCCTTGTGACTGTGTTATACTTAGCAAGTACAGGCTTTTGAAGTTAACGGAGTATGCCGAGTTCTCTTCGAAGTACTGCGGCTGGCGCAAATGCTGTGTTTATGACTCCCTGTCGGGAGATACTTCCGGAGCCAAGGAGCAGGGCGATGGAGAGGTAGTCTTGGAGTCTTCGAGAACCCAGGCCTTATAGATGAGGGCTACGAAGAGCCAGACTTCAAATGTATTCCAATCATCTGCTTGGTCAATACATAATTGGGGATAACACCTGTAGAGGACCCCTTCACACTGCGCATCCCGCTGCTGTGACACCAGGACCAATATTTGCCTTCCTGAAAGGATAAAATCAAGATCTCATTATTAAAGATATGCAGGAACTAGCCTGTTTCACTACTCACCGAATTCGACACTATTTAGTCTCCCTGTCCTTTGAGCTTTGATGGAAAAATGATCACAAACGCAGCCTTTGTGAATCTAAGAGGAAAGCATATTAGAATGGACTTTCAATCACATCCACTAGCAAGGCTGTCTTCTTTACTCTGACTTTCCCTTAGCGAAGACATGTTAAACTTTCAGCAAGGGCAAAAGGCTCCGACTACTACGCCAATGATGACCCTAGCCAGCACTTACGCATTAGGGGAAACAGATCGCAGGTCTCCGCAGTCGCTGTCATCGAGATTCGCACGGAACCTTCCGTGAGATCTGTTTCGAAAAAAGCCTTCGGCTCTGCTGCTTGACTCGAGGGTTGCATTGAACGAAGTCAGGTGATTGGACATCGTTTTCATTTTACCCGGCGTTTTAGGTTTCTCGTTCCCGGAAAGGATCAGCAGAGCAGCAGTGGCTCAGAAACACGACGCACGTGCTTGTCTAGACGCTACTGGACTCCAAGAATCGAGCCGCGATACACACTGTTCTTAAGACGGCCTACCTTCCAGTGGCTTGATCCAAGCCGAATCCTAGCAAACAGGTGGATAATGCCACAAATCCAGCCTGCCAAACTCTTCAAAATGAGCGGTTAAGCTGACATGAGCGATGTTACTCACAAGCTCGTAAGTTCAGAGTCGCCAGAGCAAGTTGATCATCGAGTCATTTCTGCTAGAAAGTAGAACTTAGTGTCTTTGATTGCGTTCGCGAGGATGGCATTGGGCTTTCAGGGACTCAGCCGGGGTCAAAGAGTGTGTATATATAGCCCTCCCACGGCGTGTAAACTCTTGTTCTACTTCCATCATTAAGAAAGTCGGATACACTAGAACCAGACACTAGCCTCTCCAGATTACTTGAACGTCATGCAAGGACCTTGGATACTACTGGCCCTGGTTGCCACCGCAATGGCTAGCCCAGCCCTTGATAAAGGTATGGTTATCCTCCAGCATATCATACATCGCTGTGCTAACTAGACAAGATCAGCGGGGAGATACCTGCAAGAAGTTTCAGATATGGGCTTCGCCCTTGGATCCCAGGTTTGCACCTCGATGGGCGGGCTCGGCAGTATGTTGTTGTGCATACGACAAGTGCAAGTTGACCGCCGGCTCGCTCATCGTTGCCAAGGCTACTCTGAACCGATTTGGGACGGGGACATTCGTCATGACCAATGGACAGGTTACACAAAACGACCGTGTGGAGCGGGGAAATGTCGAATACTCGGTGGGCGTTCAGGGTGCCTGCGACCCGGATCACTTCGGCTGAGGGCTGTCTACAAACAGTATGGCGGTGGTTGTATGAACGTGGCACAAGTCTCTATCGACGGGTATTTTACTTTCTCGGGAAATCCCTCGCTAAAGTGTGGGAAAAGACCATAAATCATTTTGGATATATAAATTAATCTTGATATATACCGACAAGCCCTGTATGGCTGATGGCGGTGTGACGAACAGAACATCGTGGTAAGGAGTTGGGGTGAATTCATTGCCTTACGACTATCCGTCGTAACGCAACGTCAAACTCTCGTCTAATGAGTTCATCATGATTCGATCATTCGAAATGTCCTTCCCAGTATTTTCGTTCCATTTCCCTTCGCTCCTGATGATGCTGTTGAAGAAATCCTGTGATCTGTACTTGAAGGCAGGGAACAAACACACAGTTGTCATGAGCTCACAGCCCCTCGGCCAGTTCACGAATAATCCTTCTTGCTCCTTCCCTTGCCTCGGCGACAACCTCACTCGCAGGCTTTATATCCTTGACGAGCCCGACGCCCGCGCCTGCCCATTTGCCAACCATGAATTTCGCATCCTCCTCGCTCCACCCAGTCTTGAGTCTCTCTCGGCTCTCTTCCACCGTCACGCCACCCTTCATGTGCTCCCGATGGATATCACCAACAATGGCACGCCCATCAAAGCCGGGCTTCCACAGACCATTCGCCGCCAGTCGGTCATGGAAGGGCGTCTTCCAGGTACTGACGCCCCCGTCCGTCGTCTTGACGACGAGCGCCTTGTACTCGTCAGCAAATCCGGCCTCAGGCGTCGCGATGAACCGCGTCCCCATGACGACGCCCTCGGCCCCCAGCGCCACGGCAGCCGCAACACCGCTCGCCTCGACGATACCGCCCGCCGCCACGACGGCGACGTGCCGGTCGGGGAACTCATTCGCCAGCAGGGCGCGCACCTCGGGCAGCAGCGCCACGACACCGCAGCCGCGCTCAAACTGGTGGCCGCCGGCATCCACACCCTGGGCAACCAGCACGTCAGCGCCATCCTGGACAGCCTCCCGCGCGGCAGCCACGTTGCCGACCTGGACAAAGACGCGGATCTCGGCCCCGTGCAGCGCGGCGATGATGGCCGCGTGCGGCTTCGTCTCGGGGTGGGGCGCGAACAGCCAGGCGGCGGCTACGCGGTGGCGCGTCAGGATGGGCAGTGCGTGGGCGGCAAACTGCGGCGCCGTCTCGTGGGCCGTGATGAAGCCGACGCCCAGCGGCAGGGGCACGGTCGGCGGCAGGTTCAGGCGGACGCGGGCTTCGGTGAGGCCGTTGGCGAGGTCTTTGAGCTGGCCCGTTTCGGCCGAGGCGGCGGACAGGTCGAAGCCTGCGCCGATGAAGCCTATGCCGCCGGCTTTTGTGACCTCGGTGGCGAGCGCGGCGTTAGCGGTGATCATCATGGGCGCGTTGATGATGATGGGAGACCTGGCGTGGGGGAACCAGGGGAAGAGCTTTGAGGGCGCCATGGTACGTTGATGCGATGGCAGATCTCTGTGCGCCTACGTCGGGGAGGAATGAGGTTGATGATTCTGGTTTGAACGTGATGACTTGGAAAGTTGTCTCTGGTCTTGGGACGGTCGAAGTCGAACTTCAGTAAGCTGATGGAAGCGGGGAAACAGAACCTCGGATATAAAGTGAAGAACCAAGGCGCTGAGTCAGGCTTCGTGGTTTGCCATGACGAATTCATGGCCAGTAACATGAGGGCACCTGGACCAAATCGGACATGCGGGGCCGATCGACATGAGACACCAGCATCTCTAGAGTTGCAGGGGGGATATGAAGTTCACCCATGTGGTGACCCCCAAATATTCAATCTTGAAGCATCTATGAGTGCATCTCTTGGCTTGTCAGGGAAGAAATGCTTTGGAATTTCATACCCAATCTTCCACGTCAGGCCTGTGTGTAATTCAAAGCTTCATAGGCAATCTTGTCCTGTGAACTGGTTTCATCAAACGTAGTACACAAAGAAGCTGTAGCCTTTCTTCAAGATGCCCATGCGGCAGATGTAGACCTTGTAACTCATTCTACAGCAGCACGCACATCCAAAGTAAGGTGGCCCTTTCTCACATCTTCTTTGAGCAAGGCAGCGATCTCTCACGACGACTAAGCGACGACTCAGCAAAACCTCTGCGCGGCTAATATCTATGTATTGCCCTTCTACAGATATTTCCTTCCCACGACCTTTATTTCCTCTCGTCGGCTCTTTCACCCCTTACTAAAAGCTAACACAACTCTCCTCACGACAGTACCCAGCAGCAATGGCTTCTCATCAGGCCACCGTCAGCGACGAGCTCGAGAACTCTTTTTGTCTTGCTGACTCTCCCGGACAACTTCCCAAGTCTCTCCAGCAGCTCATGGAGTCGTCCCACCCGCCCTTTGAGTCCCCTCAGCAGGCCCCCAAGTCTACCCAGCAGTTCCTTGATGCTCCCGAGCTTCCTGAGGCCGCCCAGTGCCCTGAGTCTCTCAAGCAACCTGCCGAGGTAGCCGAGCCCATCTGCATCATCACCAAAGCCGCCACCAAGACCTACCACAAGCGCCAGAAACCCGCTCGCCAGACCCGCAAGCAGAAATTCGTCGCCGCCAAGAATCGCCACGGCGAGGCCGCCCGCGAGCGCAAGAACGGCACTCGCTTCCACGTCACGCCCCTGAGTGAGTATCCCCACCATCCCTCCGAAGAATGCCCCAAGGTAGTCTCCTGCTTACAGTGACGTCCCCAACAGGCCTGAAGCAAAAGTTCCCGCCCACCTTCAACGAGGACTACGCCGTCGGTCTCTGGGACACTGACCGCAACCCCCGCAAGCTTGGCTTCAGCAACAAGAACTGGCGCGTCTATCTGTCCAGCATGCCCCTCATCAAGCTCCGCAAGGGTACGTTTGCACTTGACACGCCGCCTCCTTACTCCAAGTTAAGGTTAGCTAACCGTGCAAAAGAGAAGGAGGCCGAGGAGGAGGCCGAGAAGCAGTTGGAGGCGGCCGAGGAGGAGGCCAGAATGCATGAGTTCGCTGTCGCTCTTCTTGGTCTTTAGGCAGCGGCGTTCGTCCGTGTTTACGGAAGTCGAGCTACTAGTAGCTGCGCTGTTCTACCGTTCTTGAAGAAGCAGAGGGGATGCGGTTGCTCTTTCTGAACCCATCACTGCGCGTCCTAGGGAGAATAAATACATGGGAAGATGGCTTGCCCTTCGTCACCATGATTCTACGTTGCCTGCGTTCCGCACTGGTTGTACACACAGTCCTTGATTTACAAATGTTCATGCTAACCTTACCGTACTTAATACTCGGCTGCAGCATCGAACACAGTGGAGCAGATCATCACCTTTCGCATTCAGGGTCTTATTTTAGATGTTTTAAACAAACCCGATGACCCCCAAGTCCAACATGTTCGCGAAGCATAGACCGCCCTATACCATCATTAAGCAGCGCGCAGCATCGCAAGGACACCCGCCCAGGTCTCCCGAACGGTGGGCTGGATCTGGCTGGCAGGCAGAGAGAAGCCGTTGGTGCCCTTGTCGCGGAGCTCAAGCGTGTACGTGTAGGTCGACTTGGCGACACCGTGGAGGTAGTCGGTGCTGTCGCCAGTGGTGGCATACAGCGCACGGCAGGCGTTTCCGATGGTGTAGGCAGTTCCAGAGACGGCGCGGATGGCGCTGGCGCCGCGGGAGGCCATGGCGGAGAGGGCCGAGTCGTCGGGAGCGACAACGGAGCAGCTGTAACCGAAGGCTGTAGCACATGTCAGCAGTAGATCTCGACGTTTCGGGTGTGAGGCTCCAGCGCAGCTCGTGCACTACACTTACGCCAGAGGATGTACTGTCCGTACGAGTGGAAGTCGATGTAGAACCTGATGCCACGGCCGGCGGCGAGCGTGTCGACCTGGGCCTTGGCACCTCGAATCTCGGGGGCATCGGCGGCAGCGCGACCCTTGAACGTCTCGGAGCAGGGGTCGGTCGAGGCACCGCCGGTGACCTCCCACTTGTAGGGCCAGTTGCGGTTGGGGTCGCGGCCGACGCAGGAGGTTCCGCTCAGGGTCTGGCGGTTCTTGCGCCACAGGCGGTTGGTGGTCTGGGTGTAGACGAAACCTGCTTCGTATTAGACTGATTCTCTGCTGATCGCTTCTTGCTGCAGTAGACTGACCGTCGGGGTTCAGGACGGGGATGATGTAGTAGTCGAACTTGTCGACGGCGGCCTTGACGCCGGTGTCGGTGGCGTACTTGGTCAGCAGCTGGTAGGCCATATACTCGGTGGTCTAATGGAAACCAGTCAATAACGTGCAGGAGAACCCTTGGCATGGCAGAGCCTACCATCGTGCTGATCCACTCGCGAGCGTGAACGGTGCCGTGGAAGATGACGGCCGGCTTGGAGCCCTTGCCGCCGCTGCCCCAGATGTGAATGCCCGTGAGAGCGCGGCCCTGGAACGAGGAGCCGGTGGTGAAGATCTCCGACTGCGTGGGGAAGCTAGACTGGAGGTCGTTGAGGAAGGTCAGGTGGTCGGCGTAGCTGTGGTAGGTCGTGAACCACGTCTCGCTGGGGACTGTATCAAGCATCAGCAACCAGATCCATCGGGTGAATTGACCGACCGAGTCCTACCAGCATAGAGGGACGCCGTGTCCTCCTCGGCGAAAGCAGCGCCAATATCTTCGACGAGGATGGTGGTGTTGGTGGCGAGGCGCGAGACGGCGTCTACGTTTTCGGGCGACACGACAATGTCGAGGGCCTCGTGAGAGCCAGGGTTCAGGACGCTGGCAGCGAGCTTGCTGATCTGGTGCCTCGCCTCCTGATCATCTTCAGGCAGATTCACGCGAATGCCCTTGAAGCCGGTGTAGTCGACCTTCTTTGGCTTGGGGAGGGCTGCGCCGAAAGCCAGAGGCAGGAGGGCGAGGGCGGACAGGACAGAGGCCTTCATGGTGGCGACGAGACGAGACGAGACAGGACAAGATGGTTGATTTCTTGGTGGCGACAACTAGATCTGCTCTCGCTGTGAAGACGCCGAAGTCAGCTGCTTTATAGCGTTGAGAAGGGTGGCCGATGGCGTTCAGCTCAGATGTCGTGCCTCCAACGACAACCTAATCGTCGAGCGGGATATTTGGGTTCAGCATCCAGGTGCCGCGGGCATCACATCGCAATGCGGCAGGTGTTTAGAGCCAGGTCGGGAGCTAACCTGTGCGGTGCAACAGTGGTCGCAGGTGATCTTGCCAAGGGCGGAAGCTCCCTAGTCACACCATCGCGTCTTGCCCAAAGAGGCAGCTCACGAGCTTAATCGCCGGCAGTTCGCTGCCGGTCGATCCCCTGATTGTCGAGTGCCTGGAGCACCTGGAACACCCAGCGCCTATTGCTCCATCCTGTGGGGGAAGGCGCTACAGATGTTCTGGTCTTCTTCGATTGCATGGCATCATGAGGGGCCGTCCCTCGGCCTCTGGCGGTTGCATCGCGACATGTGCACCAGGCCGGGCCCTTGCTGCACGCTGCCTCTTATCTCTGAGTTGCATCAGATGCTGCTATCCGCCTCAAAGGACGTGGGAGATCTTTGGTTCGTCATGCGTGCGGCTGCAATGTGGATTGACTTGCCTTTTCAGGCCTCGGATCCTTTCCCTGGTTGAGGCCCTGAAGTTCGGTGATGCCCGCAATGATGCCCTCCATGATGATGCCCGCGATATGATGCCCGCAATGAGCAGATGCCCCAGTATCAGCGCAACGGCTTTGACGACCCTTTTAAGAGTACTGTTGATAATGTGTCCGATTTCAAGTTCTTAGATGTCTTGCCTTCAAATCAAAGGCCGCCGCTCAAATGCCCTGTCCAGATTGAAGCGCACCGGTAGAAGTGGGCAGAGGCGAGCCAGTCGCTGAAGATGTTGCGTGGGTTTTCTCCGTTTACACACTGGGACTCGTGAGTTTGAGCAAACTGGACTCTTTATCGTAGTATCAAGGCAACTCATTTCTCATCACCTCTCCAGATGTTTTCATGCTCTGGAATATGCTCGTGCATCCCCTAACAGTAGCTATCTTTGACAGGCATTTGGCTATTGAGCATCTGCCTGTTGAAGCCACGACGACTTGCTTTATTTAACGTGTATTCCCTTACATATTCATGCCAAAAGACACAATGGTTTATACCCAAAAAACATCCGAGCGAAGGCCGCGTGATCAAAGGTCATCCAACGGAAAGGTAGCATCCTGCCAAGCCGTGTCAGCTTCCCACCCCAGGTATCCGACAATCAAACGTGCCGCAATAATACGCGTGCATATGATTTGATCGTTCGCATTCATCACGCCTGCGGGAGCTACTCGTCAGATCTTCCACGTTTAGCCGGAATATGCGAGTAAGCTGCAGATTGTCTGACTTATTTGCTGTGTCCAGTCTCTTCGTATGAGATCCCAATCTTTGAGGTCATCTCCATGCACGTGATCCTTCCTCGCTTGGGTCGTTTGTCCAAGGTTGCAATTTTGTATTTATGTACATTAAGTGTCCTCAAGATGGCATTCGCGGAGTGTCGAGTACCGTCATGGTGGAAGTGATGATGGATTCAAGGTGTCTGCTTCCAGATGACGCGATCATCTTGATCTCTCCATACCACAGAGAGTTGTTAAAAGGCACGACTGCCAATCTCTGCAACTGACGAAAGCATCCATCACATCTAGCACCAGAGACAAGTACTGTTCAAAACATGAAGCCCCTCGGATTCATCGCTGCTCTTGCTGCGCTCGCATCGGCTGTGCCACAGCCCCTTCAATACAGCTCTGAAGCACCAAGTAGCGACCGCCTCAGCAAGCGGGCCACTCTCTGCGGACCGCAAGAGTACCTTGAAACATTCTGGTTTCTTGTCAAGAATGGAATCTCGGAAGCAGCCCCTGACGACGGCTCCCAGTGCATTACTGTCGTGGGTCAATTCGACTCGCTGCTAAGGTGGTCCACGTCCTTCACGTGGAGCGGCGCCTCATCGACGCCCAGGTCCTACTAGCGTGCCGATCGCTGGAGGTTCCAAGTAACCTCTTTGTTCGAATATCATTTCCTTGCGACCAAATGGAAGTGGAGGCAAGTGACGAGACGCGAAATGTACATCCTGGTCCCCTTGACTCACAGGCCTTTTGCAGTTACACGGGCTCCGATGTCAAAGCCACAGTTCTCTTCGATATCACTGGGGGTGGGAACGGCGCACCGCTGCCAGGCTCATTATGTCGAACCGCCACTCCAGACTGGAGTCTCCAGGTATGGCTCGGCAAGTACGGCGACGTTGCCCCTACCAGCACCACGGGCTCACCGATCATCATCGCCAATATTGGCAGCCGCACCTTCGACGTCTACAAGGGGACCAAGTCCAGCCTCACCGCGTACACCTTTGTAGCCAATACGGCAGCGACTGAATACAGCGGCGATGCCATCGACTTCGTCCGGTGGCTCGTCGCTAACGAGGGTTACACAAACAGCACTTGTGTCTTCTCCTTTTCCGCTGGCACGGAGATCTTTGAGGGGACGGATGCCACGTTCAACACAGCCCAGCTGTCTGCCGAGCAGTTCATCCGCCCAGTTGCTGAGCCGGTTCCCCCTATAGCGACGACGAGAACGACGACGTACGTCCCGACGCCGACACCGACTGCTACTTGTGTGCCAAAGTGGGGACAGTGTGGCGGTATTGGGTACGTTGGACCGACATGTTGTCAGGCTGGAAGCACCTGCACTTTCTATAACGACTGGGACTCGCTGTGTAACTGATGGTGGCATATGGTAAACGTGGTATCTATGCGTTCGACGTATTTGCAGTTCGCAGGTTCACGCCAGATGGGCATGACTAGAGACGCGACTGGTTCTTAGCTGCAGGAGACAACTCGGGCAGGTGTTCATAGAGCTTCGAGTCGAACTGTTCAGGCAGCTTCCAGCTAGTTCGACCATTCAAGTTCATCCCGGTAGATAGCCCCGGGCTTGTCTCGATGGTGCCGAAGTGGAAGAGTCTCGCAAGTCGCCGAATCGCTTGAACCCTATGCAGCGGGCATGTTTTCTGGCCTCAGCCAGTCAAATGTATCCAACAGCTCAAAGTTAAAGTCCGCCTGCGTCGAAAAGTCGAAATCGGCCATCTCGAGACCCGGCGCACCCTCGGGCGGGGGATTCAGCGTCTGGTCGAGCACGTGCTGCACGAGTGCCCTGCAGTGCGCGCAGAGGTTGCCATTGGGGGCCTCATCGCCAACCCATTCGAGGAAGCCAACGAGCAGGCTCAGTTTCTGGACGATGCGTGAGCGATCTATGGACGGGTTGCTGGGGTGGGTGCCGTGGAGAGTGGGCTTGAGGAGCTCGAGGCAGAGGATGCCACCTCCTGGCGCGGCGAAAGCCATGACCTGCCAGTGTCAATAAATAATCGTGTGATGATCAGAGCCTCCATGGTGTGTATGAGGAAGGAGCGTCATGGTATTGGGAAAGCTTACCAGCCACTTCAAATCTGACTGTACGATACCCAACCGATCCATGTTTGTCCATGTCATGAGCGTCGTGGTGACCATGTCGAAGCTGACCGAAAGGAGCTCGCCACTGCTGTTGTGCCCCCGACGAACAAGCAATCTCTCCAAAAAGAAGAGATTTTGCAGGTACTCGAGGCGGATGATGATGCGGCTGTACAGCGTGGCCATCTCGAGGGATGCATCCTTGATGTCGTCAGGTTTGAGGATCAGAACATCAGGGAAGCTGGCCCAGATCGCCAGATGCTGGGCCTTGATATTTCTGTGGCGGCCGGTTAGTTTGCATGTTTCACGGCGCGCAGGATTTTTGTCTTACAACAACGCCTCGATCGACGTAGTGCCATTTCCCATGGCAATCTCCATAATCTCATCGCGGATGCTCGCCATCTTCACGCGTGCTCTGATAATGGTCGTCGGATACAACGCGCCCTCGGTATTCCATCCGTTTGCGTCCAATGCTGACACGCCCTTCATCATGGTTGCCTCATCCGCCAGCAGGTACTCGTCTCGCAGGTCCAGAGGTGGCGGTGTGCTGAAGTATCTCCGACTGATCATGGGCGGCCTGCCGACAAAGGACGACACAACCTTGTCAATGTTGTAAACGCAGTAGAACAACCTCCTGCGGGTTTCAGACGCAAGCGATGGGATGTATGGCTCCGTGTTTGTCTCGGCATGCAAGCCAAGGAACGTCATGAGCGAGACGCTCTCGGCGTGGTATTGCCAGCAGGACAAGCCTGGAGGGTCATGTCATTACTTTCCCGAAACCCAGGGTGAAAGAATCGAAACTCACTTGCATCGCCCGCAGAGACGGATTCGAGAATCATCCTCTTGAAGAAGACATACAGAAGCATCGTGTTGCCCGACTCGGAATGCGCCCGCGCCAGCTCGGCGCAATTCTTCAGGCACTGCTGGTGCATCTCGTGCTTTCTCGTAAACCCACAGCTCATCGAGCCGACCGGGCCGAATGGTTGCTGGGTGTAGTCGTGGACGATGGCGCCCATTCTCCAGTACGTGAACAAGACGCCGAGCGTCTCCCACCGAGTATTATGACCAGAAAACTGGGCGGCCCATTTGACGGGATCGCGTTCGTTCTCGGAGAAGGGTCTCCTCGTGTTCTCGCAAATGATGTGGGCGAGCTTGGTGAGCTTGACATCGTCGCGGCTGTCGTCAAAATACTCTCCATACGCCTTGTACAGCGCGTTCAGGGTCTTCAGCGCCACAGGTTGGGTCCAGCCGTCGCAGAGGTTGTAATGGGCTTTGAACAGGGACCGACCTCGCCTCTCGTCGGGAATATGGCGCAGGACGACGAGGCACGTCTCCAAGACGGCAGGAGCCAGCATCTGGCTGCGCCGCGTCTCTTTCGGGTCTTTCCGCGCTTCAAAGTCCAGTGATACGGTGACCGTTTGCGGGTGAAGGAGTGAGAGGTTGCTGCGCGCTTCGTCGTAGATGCCGCTGAATGACGTGAAGCCGAGGAAGCCAGGCGCCGTGTTCACGGGCTGGGGGCTCGCATTGTCGGGTGTCTGAAAGCCGTAGACGGCGACGGCATCTTTCGGCACCGACACTGGGCGCGTGACGACTGCAATACCTGGTGTCGAAGTTGGCGATGGCAGCCGGGAACTGCGAGGTTCGGCTTGCGAGGTGCGATGCACTTTGACCAAGGACGCGACCGGGGGCGGCGATGAAGTTTCTCGAGAGCGCTTACGTGTTGGGCTCTCGATAATGTACTCGCACGCCTCTGGGTTCTTTCCCTTTCGACACCGGCTGCAGACGGGTTGGCCATGATCACATCCTACCTTGCGCTTTCGGCATGGCTCGCAAGCCTGGGCGCGACCGTTCTTCCGGTATAACAGCGAGCTCCCCAGAGGGTCCATCGAGATGCTTCGTCTCGGCTACAACGCCACGTGTTTCCGAGACCGAGAAGGCGACCTTCAGTGCAGCACGACTGCCACGAGCTTGTCAGTCGTGACTTTGGTGTGGTGGTGAGAGTTCCAGTGGGTGGTGGAGATCTCGGTGTAAGATTTGGCCAAGACGATTTTTGAGCCGAGCTCGGCTCGACCAGAGTCTCCACTCCCGAGTTTTCGCTTCCACGTGAAAAGGCCCCAATATTGATCTTCCATGTCACAATCCGAGAGCGTAGCGGAGGGTCCCTGATTCTTGCCAGGGAATCGAGAACTATTCAATCACATTATTTCTGGCTTGGGGGGTATGTGATTGACACTTCCTACTAGCGTGGTCGTCATTGATCATGGCATCATGATTTGGATGCCAATACCGTCGAATCCAGGGCCACTATCCAATCCATGGTCATATCAGCGTTGCCCGGCCTGATATCAGGTCAGCTGCTTCTCGAGATAGCCTGGGACGGACAAAAGAATAGAACAGAGTATTCCTAAACACTAACGAAACCTTGTCCAGACCCCTCCACAATTACTTCATAAACACGAACGAAACCTTGCCCAGACTCCTCCACAGTTACTTGGCCACTTCTTCAATTCAAACAAGCCTCCTCCTGAGGTGCCGCGGCGGCCAACATCCTTCCACCCACCTTCAACGGCTCAGGTTCACCTTGGCTCCATCCCGACCTTTTCTGAACCGCCAGTCCATCACAGCGACGTAGGGGGAATCTCTCTTGACAATTCCGCCGCGAACAAGCTGCTGCGACTCGAGGTCGAAGCAAGGACGGCCGTCAGCCGTTTTCTTGTCGTTGTCTGCGCAGAATGGGTGCAGCGTCTTGTCCGACATGAGGCAGAACATCTTCTCCTTGGCGTTGGCAAAGTCGGGCCCGCGCGACGAGTTGCTGCTGCAGAGATAAGCGGCGCTGTTGCCCGCGAAGGAGTCAACCACAAGCCAGTTGAACGGGTTCTCCGGTCCTAGGAGATTCTGGCTGGCTGAGGCAGGATCGCTGGCCGTCGATGTGCCATTCAGGACTGCGGCCTCATTTCCTCCGTCCTGTTGGCGTTTCGAGTGCCGTGGCCGCCCTTTACCTACGTCTAGGTATACTTCCTTTCCCCAGGGTCTTCTGAACAGGCTCTTCACTCGGCGACTTTGCGGGCAGCTGATCACGGATAGCCGTTGGTATTTGTACTTGTTACCTCTTGCCACAGATTTGGCTCGTTGGTGGTTCTGGTAACGAATGTTCCTCATCTCGCACTTTATCCAAGGCTTCTTCAGGGTGATCCGATCACCCGCGTTACGACGGGCTTTCTCCATAAACTTGGCAAGCGTCTTTTCGTACTCGGCTCGGGTAAAGTTAGATGCATGCTGGGGTGTTTCCGATTTCTCGGCGTCCTGTTCGAATTTAAGTTCGGGATTTTGCATGACACGTGGGTAATGTTTGATATGGCTGGTACCGGACGATCAGCAGTGATCAAAGACTTCGTTACCACAAGGGCTAGGAGACTTACTGCCGATAGCCCACAATATTCGCCGTGTAAATATCGGGGTACTTGTGCGTTCTGAACACGGCACTGTCGGGGTCGCACGTCCTGTGGAACGTCTCCCGGAAGGGTGGCATAAGGTAGCTCTCTTTGCCATCTCCCGTTGCGCCTGGACTCTTCTGCGGCTTGTAACTCGGCCAGTGCATCTGAACCCGCTATTAGGAGACTGTTTCACGTGAGAGCTGCTGATCCAGATGCATTTTGGCTCGTAACTGTCGATCCCTGCGAAGCCCGCGCCGTGAAGTCCGCTGAAGTACCAGTCCTCGCCGCAGAGCTCGCCGGTGTCTCCTGTCCACAGGTACCCGCCCCCTCCCGGCATCGTCAATGTCGCCCATGCCACGCAGACAGGGACCTCGCCGCCGTTGAAGACTGTATACATGGCTTGTTGGTCCCTGTACATGCGGGGCTGCGCAGAAGCGACTGTGCCTTCATGGTTGACCTTGAACTTGTCCAAACTCAATCTGGAGGCCAAATCACCTTTGAACTGATGGTAGCCGATGAAGTCGCCGTTGGTATTGAACAAGACACTTTGGTGACACGGTCAGCGCTGCTTCCACGAACAAGTCCGGTCCCCTTACATGTTTCCCAATACACCACTGGCCTTAGACTTGATGAATTTCCATCCCTGTCAGGCTGGCTCATGCCAAGGCCGATTTCCAAGACTGTCTTGGTGTCTCGTGGCGGCGGCTTGAAGAGAAAGTTTATTCCATCACCGCCAGGCCCGTAAAATGCAAACAAGCCCAACCAGGGCTAATAGTCACGAGGAATTGTGGCACCATGATCTGCGACTGGCCTTGGTCAATCCAAAGTTGGGATCACGCCTTGTGCTCGTGGGCGTTTTCTCCCAGTGCTGGGTGAATCAGAGACTTCGAGACAAACTTGAACGAGAATGAAGGCCAATCGCGGACGCGAAAAGTCAAACGATTCCTTATCTTTTATGTACTTCGCGCCCGAGAGAACCGCCAGTACTCGACTATCCGCTTGGTCGCTTTGAGGCAGCTCAAGCGCTGCTCCGTGCACACAAGATTTCGGACTTGGATGCAGAGTCGAAGTGTGGTCCCGTTGCTTTTCTTCAATTATGCATCCTGGTAGGCTCGCAGTGTTTAGACATGATCGACTTGTCCACCTGCCGTGTGCCATCCGGCGTACGCGATTTGGTCACATACATTCTCTGTCCATAGATTAATCGATATCATGACGAGCAGGTTCGCAAACAATACATCATGATAAAATCCTAAGCTACTCCCTGCCTAATCGAAAACAAGGGGAGACAGCGGTCGCGCAAACCAAGGCACGGGCAAGCCAAATTGTAAAACGCGTCAGCAAGAGTGTGCAACACCAAAAGCGCACCGTCGGCGCACATTACTCCAGCGTATGGGAAAGTAACTGCCTGATGTACATTAGGTTGCGGACTTTCTCAGCGTCAAGACTCGTTGTGTCTTTGACCTTAGGGAATTTGCCGATGGCGTCAACGCGGTGGCTTGCGGGGGCTCCAAGCATAAGAACAGGGCGTTGCGGTTGCAGGCTGTCCAGAGATTCAGCGGCTTTTCGTTCGGAAGAAGCTTGTTTATTGGAGAACATTCTAACTATAGCCGCGCATAATTCGTTTGAAAAGGCTCCGAGGGCTCTTAACTGACCCTTGCCAGGAATCAGTCTTCGAAATCGCCGTCCTCCAAGTCGCCGTCCTCCAAATCGCTGTCCTCCAAATCGCTGTCCTCCATGCCGTAACCAAAATAATCGTCATCTGGTTCGTCCCAAAGCCTGCGCGCTTCCTTCCTTCGCTGCTCGGAGGGTCGGTCGCACCACGGGCCGAGCCAATAGGCGTCGGCGTATGCGTCCTCGAGGTATCCCCACAACCGGTTGACGCCCACATCTTCGAGCAGCTCCTCTATCGTGCGATCGCGGCCCTCTCCCGACTGAAAGGTATCGGTATCCATCATGTCCTCCATCTCGGCTTCCGAATCGAGTTCGGCGCACAAGCATGCATCTCCGAGAAGGTCAAGAACACCCTCGGACCCTGACCACGCAGCATACGAGTTCTGCAAAGTCAGGGCCATTTCTTCCCACGATCCGAGCGAGTACGTTTCGACAACGCTGGACAGGGCCTCGTCTGGGTCGAAGAGGTCGAACATGAAAGAGGAGTTGGCCCTGTGGAGCTGAGAGCCGAGCTTCTTAGCATGCTCGAGATGAACCTCACCAGCAGTGGTCAGGTCGTCGGGCGGTAGTTGTTGGTACAAGGAGGACAGCGGGCTTCGGAGTGTGGCCAGCTCGATGGTGCGCCAAAGATGCTCTGGGAGTTTGCTGGCGGCAAGAACCTTGCGGCAAACTTTGAGGTTGCGAATGTCGACGACAAGTCTTAGTTCGAGAAGCAATAGAACATTTAAATGGTCCAGTGATGGAAAGCGCTCGCTGATGAAGTCGGGCTCGCTTAAGATGCTGGCCTCACTGGGAATCAAGTAAGGCGCGTCCGAGTCGGCCCATAGGTCGTCACCAGGGCTATCAAGGACTGACCACCACCTGATAAAGTCGTGGCACTCCCGATCTAGGTCGAGCCGGAGCATGATGGCTGGAATTATGTCTCTCAAGCCCATGTTGTCGCTGCGAGATAGCTTCAACATGTCCAGCAGATGCTCGAGAGCCTGCTGCACGCCATCAAGGGTGCCCGTCGCCAGAAGGCAAGGTCCTGCCAGCTCAAATCGAGCCCGCATGTAGGCGCGCGTGGAGTAGACCTGCCAGAACTGACCGGCATGCGTCTCGAAGGCATTGGCCGGAGTCACGATGTCCTCTGTGGCATTGCGAATGGCAAAAGCCTCTTTCTCCACTCTGGCGCGGGCTCGTTTGATCTTGTTGCAAAGCGCCTTGTGCTGGGTACGATCCACTAATTGGTGTTCGCGACTGCAGTACCTCACCGCTTGACAGCCACCACATCGAAGAAGACGAGGTCCGGTTGCCGGGCATTGTGGGCATCGATGACATAGAGAGCCGACAGGGCCCTTGAATCTGGCCTGATTGTTCATGATACTCGGGTTTGTGTGCGCTGTGCTGAATATGAAGTGTTCAGGTTGCTATGATGATGATGATGATGATGATATATTTAAACGCCTTGAAATCCCCTAGGGGCAAACGGGCGCCTGCGCGTCCCTATATACTGCTCATATAAATGAAATCCTGCATTCCAGCTGCCACTAGGATTAGAGACCCCTCGTGGCCGTGGTCGCTTAGGGACTCTAATAACTCTATATCGAGTTTTTCTATATTATGTATTGTATCGGGTGCTAGGTTGTCTATTATTATTAGGTCGGCTCCCTGCTAGGCGTTAGCGCCTCGGGAGAGCTATAGTAATAGCTAGGGGTCTAGTTAATAGTTATATCCTTATTTAGTATCTAGGGTAAATCGTGCTAAGAAATGTTTAGTATCTAGGGTAGATCGCACTAAAGAAATCCGAGTCTCTAGTTAACTTAATAAAGGATTCTTAGTTAGTACCGAGTATCGTATTAATATATTATCGTTAGCCTATCTATAGCGGGTTCGACCTAGGGCGGGTCTTCCTATAGAATAGTAGGTAGTTAGGGGTCTTATCTTTACTATAGGAGTAGGTCGTTTTAGCGTCGGTATATCCGAAGCGTGAATAGTATTTCTTAAAGTCCCTATAACCTATCCTAGCCATTAGGAGGTAGTATAGTTCCCCTCTCTTAAGGGTATCGAGTTCTTTTATAGGTTTTATTATAGCTTTTAGGTCGAGCTCTACGTAAGTAGCGGGTTATTCTTTTTCCTATTAGTATTCGTATTCTAGGCAGTACTACTTCTATAAGAGCCTCTTAACGTAATTAAAGGTTAGGGGGGGGTTTTCCTTTAAGGTTTCGTTAGCCCCTTTCTTCGTAAGGATATTAGCTAGTTCGTTACTACGTATTCCTATATATCCTAGGGACTATCTCGTATTAATTAGTATAGGGGAGCTAAATATAAGCTTCTTAAACTCGATAGCGGCTTTTTATAAGGATATTAAGGGTATTCCGTTTAAGTATTAGATTACTAACGTATTATCGAGGTATACTATTATAATAGTAGTAGAGTCGTCTATATATAATAAGAGGTACTCTTTTAAGCTTACTCTCGCTACTTTAATTTCTATATCGAATACCTCTACTTTAGGTAGCGGTTAGCTTCCTTCGTATATATATTATTCGTAATTACCTTTAAAGATCGTATAGCCGAAGCCCGATAATCTCGCGAACTAGGAACCGTCTATAAAGACGAGGAGGTATATTACGGGTAAGGACTCGACTTAATAGTTAAAATACTTAGCTATTTCTTCCTTAATATTAAGTATCGGAGCTTTTATATATTCTCTAGGGAATAGAATTAATCTTAGGAATTAGGGGATTATACTTATAGTAATAGTAAGAATAGTAGGCTATAGGGAGTTTCCTCTATTACGGAGGGTTTTATATTAGGAGACGTAGGGGATTAATAGGTATATTACATCTAAGGAGCCGATCCTAAGGGCGTACTAAGTATAGGCTATATCTAGTAGTATATAAACTAGAGGAGTACTTAACTCTCTTAGTAATATTAATACTAGGGTAGTCTTCTATATAGGTAGTACGCTTCTAATTATTAGATTAACTACTATTTATATCTTATTAATTTCCTTTACTAAGCTATTCTAGATAAATAGGAACTCTCTATTCTTCTTAAAGGCAGCGGGCTAATAGGGCCCTAGATATTAGATTTCTAATCTATATAGTACTTTAGGTAGTATTATAATATATATAGCTTTACGTATAGCTTTAAGTAAAGCGCTACGTATTACTTTATTTAGCCTACGGATATATCCTACTATAGATCGCGCTAAGGTTACCCTTTTCTCGATATAGTACTTAAAGGATAGGGCCTTATTAAGCTATATACTTAGTTATTTTATAGATATCTAGGTTAGTATTATTCTATTATTATAATTAATTATTAGTAGGTTAGAGAGTCGGCCTTTAGTAAAGTATATAATTTCTATTTTATTTAGGTCGAAGTTTACCCTATTATCTTAGCCCTATTAGAGTATCTTATTAAGGATTCTCTAAGCTTCTTTCGTTATATCTTTTAATATCTTATTTATATAGAGTATTACGTAGTCGTTAGCGTATTTAAACCTATAGGCCCTTATATTTATATTATATATCGGCTCTATATATAATAGGAATAGGATCGGGGAAGCTAGGGATCCCTATAATAAACTATATTATAAAGGGAGTATTTCTATCGTAAATCTTTCATAGCGTACTTAGGCCGTTCTATAACTAGTAAAGTAGGATACTTATTATATTAGGTTATTAAGCTAGCTTTATTCTCTAAGGTAGTAATAGAGTCTATTCTTAAAGACTATATTAAACGCTCTTTTAATATCTATAGTAATTAATATTATTACTTATTTTCTCGGGAAAGCGGCTTCGATATCGTATATTAGCGAGGCTATAATATCGTTAGTTAATCTTTTAAGGAGTACTCTAGTAACTTAAGGGTTAAGTATACCCTAGCTTATAATAGCCTAGGCGATTTTTCTAGTTAGTAAGCGTTTAAGGCCTTTACTTATTATTAATAGGAGGGAGATTAGGCGCTATCCTTTATAGCTATTAGCGTCTTTATTTAGTTTTAGGATTATTATTATATCGGCTTACCTATATCGTAAAGGGTAGTACCCTAGATCGAGGTATACTTAGTAGAGCTTATAAATAAATTCTTATATAGCTAGCTAAGCTATTTATAGTATATTAATCGTAATAGTATCGTACCTTAGGGATATATTACTAACCCCTATAAAGGCCGCTTTCGCTTCTTCCTCTATTATAGTATTATCCTAGGCTAATATTCGCTCTAGGTATATAGTAGTATTAGGGCTAATATTAGTTTATATATCGACCCTCTCTATTAGCTTCTTATATAGGAATCTAGCTTTATTAGCTAATATTAATACGAATATATCTCTATTTTATAAAGGGGGGGAACTAAATTAGGTCCTTAGTTTCTCTTAGCTTATTACTTTATAGAGGTCTTAGTCTATCTCGATCCCTTCTACTTAGGTCGACTAAAAGGCTACTTTAGCCTCTTTAATTACTCTATAGAACGCCTTCTTAATAGTAACTAACTCTTCGAATAATACCTTCTCTTTCTAGAAAATAGTAAAGACTTTATAACTCGTAGTATATTTATTATTCTATTATTACTTATATTATAAGGGCTTATTATTAATTAATAAAGTATTAATAGCGGCCTATAATAAAGTATTTAATATATTTACTATTATATTTAGCGCTTAATAGGTTAAGAAATCGATTAGAAAGGTCTAAGTATTCTTTATAATAAATTCTATAAAAATAGGGGTATTAATTATTATAAGTCTTCCTTTAAGGAATTATCTATAATCTTTATCGTAAAGTATTATAGTAATAAGTATTACGTAATTAGATAAAGTATAAAAGTATAGTACTATTTACGTCCTAGCCCTCGGGATATTAATAATATATAGGTCTATTATTAACCCTTTTAGGTTTATATTATCGTCGTCGTAATCTAGGTTTTAGTCTTCTCTAGGACTATTATAGTATCGTATAGTAACTCCGAGGGTATTTAATACTTATAGTAGATAGAGGTCTATCTAATTCGCGATAGAGGTAGCTACTAAGTATAGGGATACCCTTAATTATTAGTTAATATACTATATATTAAAGTCGCTTAGTATAAGGTAGCGGTCGGGTAGGCTCTATATCTCTAGGAAGTTAATAATATCGCTCTTTCTCGTATCTCTATAGATATATAGGAGCGTAATACCTTAAACTTTAATATAGTAGATATCTTAGTATAGGGGGTCTATAAAGTATAGGGGTTTAGGGGTATTAAGAGTTTTCTTAACGTAGGTAATAATGCGAGGTCGAGTATTAAGAGAATTCTAATTAGTGATTAGGGAATATATATTATAGTTAGGGTTAGTCTTCGTTATATACTTAGTAATTAAGGTCTAGGGTTTTTAAATTACGACGATATTAGCTTTTTCCGCCTTAGCGAGGCCTAGGGCGATATCGTAGCTCTCGTTACTTTTATTAGTATTTACTTAGAAGATCTTAAGTTATTATTTATTTATAGATAGGTAAGGTAATTAGTAGGGTACTTAGGAGTATCTCGTAAATAGCTTCTAAGTTATAGGGGATATCGCCTAGAATTATAATAGCTTTATCTTTATCGATCCTAAGGTATATCTCCTTCTTAGGTACTAGCGTTATTAGGGTCGTAATTAACGTAGTCCGGTTATATACGTAGGCTATATAGGTAATCTCGATACCCTATTATTAGATCTATCGTCTCTTAGCTCTCGATAATCTAGAGAGCCTTCCGTTCTTAATACTTAGTTTAACGGGGTACTTATCGTAATTACTCTCATATAAGCCTAAGTAGTTAATATATTACAGTAGCTCTATATATCCTTCTATAGGGTATTTCCCTCTATATCTTATATATAGCTATTATCTATTATAGGTTCTAGCGTACTAATTATAATAGTTATTATAGTATAGGGGTAGCTTATTCCTACTAAGCTATCGTAAAATTAAGCTATTAAAGAGTCGGAAAGGGTTTATAAACGTATTACTATCTAGGAAAGATATTATCTATATCTACTTATCCTCTAATATCATCGCTTACGTTACCCGGTATTATATAAGTTCTCTTAAAGTAGCTATCTTTACCTCCTCCCTTATAAGCGAGTTAGTATCGATATCCTAATTATTATAATCGGTTAGTATTCTAAGGACGTTCCGAACTATATATATAGCCTAAATCTTAGGTCTCTTAATACTTATTATATTAAACTATTTAAATAGCTTAGTATTATTAATAAGTATAGTCTCTCTAATTCTATTAGTTCTCGAAGTAATCGTAATACTAATCGGAATCCTAGTTACTTAGATAATATCCGTAACCTAGAGCGAATAAGACTAGATAATATAGCAACGGATAATTACTAAGTCGATACTTCTAATAGCCTCTAGGAGTCGGATAAGGATCCTATCGTTATAGGGTTAATAAGGGGAGGGTTCTATATTATCGGTATTCTTATTAAGTTTAAGTAGCGTATTTCTACCTCGTATATCTCCTTTACCTATTATAGTCTTCTAAGGGCCCTTAATCGTTATACTTTATTTTAGGGCTACGGGGGCTCTATATAGGATACCTAAGATACCTCGGTTCTTATCGAGTTAATTCTTCCTAGCGATATTAGCGTAGGTCAGTCTAGTAGGGGGGGGGGGTTATTATTTATAGCGTTAGAGTTTATTATACTTTCTAGTAATAATATCCTCTAACGTTATCGCTAGTAATCTACTATAGTATCCGATTATAGTACTATTTATCTCATCGTAATTAAGGTCTTCTAGGGTCCTTTCGATATTATCGATAAGAGCCTTACCGATACGTATATATACTAATTATACCTTCCGGAGCTTTATAATTTCGCTTATTATAGAGTTTTCAGGTAGTTACCTTAAGGCCTAAGGCTAGCTACTAGTTACGTTAATAGCGGTTCTTCTCTACGTAATAAGAGGTATAGGAGAGCTCTCCGCGACGCATTTTCTCGGGGATCTAAAGGGTATTAAAGGAGGGCCTTTAGAAGTAGTCTAATTAGGGATTCTGAACTATAAGGTCCTCTACGCAGCGCTAAGGGCGCCTACGCGCCTCGTAGGAGTCTCTAGAGGAGACTCCCCGAGTTCAGAGGATATACTAATAAGGGGAGATAGCGGTTACTAGCTAATAGATAGGTCTAGATAAGGGGTTTAACCCACTTTTCCAGAAATTGAGAAGTATAAAGGAAGGAAGGTTGTTCAGGTTGCTATGGGAGTGTGGAGTGATGCATAGGGGGGGTAAGGTTTTGGGTGGCCATACGATTTTGTATCGCCTGAGGTTATCACGATTACCTAAGAAAACCAGGAGGCAGGAGGGCCCGGGGACATGGGCCATGGGGTGCAACTGCCGGGCAGTGTGACGCTGGTGCCGAATATTCCTCTGTTTAAGGTACGTACCTCAAGGTGGTATCTAGGTAGGTAGGTAGCTACTGATATTCTTTACACCAAACTCCATGAATGCCTTGTCAAGGGTCAGTGCGTTTATATAATAAAACCCCCTCCCTCTTCCATGATCCTTTTCAAAACCCTTCAGTTAGCAGCATCAAAGAGACAGCTGTCCACGCGAGTTCGCAGACTTCAATGGACCCCCACATCGGGCGCTCCGGCACCTTGCACCTCATCTGCACCACGCCACGCACCACTGCAGGGGACGAATGGCTGCAGGAATGACGGGCCGACATTGGTGCGGGACAAGGTTCATACTTCGCAGAAGCCATTCCTATCCGTTGCTGTCATGGGAAAACAGTACCCCCTACGCGGCCAGACAGCAAATCAGCAAGAAGGCAGCCGAGGTTGCGCGGTGGGTGCCCGATGCGCCTGCTGGTCAAATTAAACGAACTGGGCGAGTCGACGGTATTTGATGCTCATGCGGGTCACGGCGCCACGAGGCCAGGTCTGGAAGGGGCGAGGTCGGCCTGTGAACAGGAATTGATTGTCGCGTGTATTATAGGAAACACCCCCAATGGAAATCCCCTCCAACAGCGTCTTTGACACTATTTCGTCCGCTCTGTTCGTACAGGTGGTTGTGAAAACACATCTGAGCACAAACTTCAACCCCTTCGTGGCCACACCGTCAAGCAATGCCGGCCTTGTCCTTCAAAAAGGTTCCTTCTCTTTCCCCTTGGGTTCTGCTTCTTCGACTTCTGAAAATAGAATGTTCTGTTGCAAGTCTACGCCATGGGCTAGCGTGCACAGGTCGGGGTTGAAAGCAAATCCCTCCAGGCACTCTGCTTCTAAATTCATTAAGACAGCACTGGACTCATCCTGGCCGTAACCATGGGAGTCCAGAAACTGACTTGGTGTGTTTTCACCGCCGTCATTGACGTGGATAGACTCGCCAGCAGCGAATCGCGTGTTCTCAGCGGTTGTGCTGGGGGGTCCCACTTGTGAGAACAGATCAGGGGATGTGGTTTGCGGGACCCCTCCGGTTTCCTCAAGTGATTTGATGAATACAGAGAATTTTTCTTTCATGACTGCCCTGCTGACGTCCTTGATGATTTTCCGAACAGAGAGGCTCATTCTCAGGCTCGCTTGGTAGTCTGAGAGCTTTCGGTCGATTTCATAGGGGACTGATTCAGAGAGATGACCGTGCAGCAACTTGAGGAGATCATCGTTGGGTAATGTGCTGGTCACTGGCACGTCGCAATCTATATCAAAGTCAGTAGGGTTTTTGTTACCACCTTTCGTTGCCAAGCGAGGTAGGTGTCGTACATGGTGACGGTACCTCGGCTGAGTTGGGGAATAGCAACTTCCACAAATTCGTCCAGAGCTCATCGTCTGGCTTTTTTTGGTTCCCAACTCTGCGTTTGACCTTTCTCTCGGTATCCCTACTGATGCCAATCGATGTGCCAGGATCAGGCACTTTTTCGCATAACGGCTCGTGACAGAGATGTTGGTCTAACTCCTCTGCGAATTTGAAAGTTTCAAAACACCGCGGGCAGCGCTCATGCACATGGTGGGCATAAATGTGTTCCCTGTATTCTGTCAGTACCCCGTCTCGAAGTTGGCAGGTAAGTCTGTGGAGTGGAGACTCGCGGCAACATGGGATTGCATACTTGACCCGCCGCACGTTTGGCCAACTATTTTTGCAGGCTTTCGGCAGCAGGTTAGGAGGGTATCGTTTCGAAAATGGGCAAGCATAGATTGCATTGCCTTCGCCCTTTTCGTACAACTTCGGACGTTTGCCATGTCCGTTATCCCGCCCCTTATCGATGTCCCGACCATCGGCCCCACCATGGCGCCGTTTTCCGTTGTCGGCTCCGCCAGCACCGGAGCCGCTCGAGAGCCCCGCGCACTGGAAATTTCCACTGCTATTTCCTGCAGGCGTGTTGCTGCCGGTGGTGTCGCTCGCCACGGACTTGACCCAGGCGTCCACTCCGGACGGGGTCACCGACGTCTGCTCTTTGGCCAAATCGAAGGGGTCGGGCTCGGATTCATTTGATTTGACTTCGTCTCCGTACATGTAGTCGTCATCCGACTCATCTGTTGTATCAGACATGATTTCGTCGTGGAAAGCTTCTTCTTCAGAATCTATCTCCATGGGGGCAGGAACAGACGATGCACGGGTTGCCGGGGAGTGTTCACGGGACGTTGCCACTGGGTCGCTTGCAGATGCCGTCTCAGACGTGCGCTCGGAGCTCGTGAGAGACGCTCCAAGTAAGTCATGATTCCGTGCATCTGTTTCGAAAAGCATCGGCACCCGATCGGCGGTGGGCCGCGGGTCGCTGGAACTACCACTGGGCTCCACACGGGCTTCCTCAATGATGCTGAGGGTTCGGCGTCTTTTGGGCTCAGAGCTAGGCGATCGATCGCTCATTTGCCCTTCAGTTCGACTTCTGGTTGGCATGGACCTCGTAGCCACAAGAGTACGGCCTGTCCGCCCGAAAGCTCTCACGACAAGCCCTGCCTCAACGGGTCTGCCCTGGATGGCGGAAACTTTGATGATCGGAGAAACAATTTCCATGGCTGGAGTGCTGGTTTTGCGCTTAACAGGAAGGCTCAAAGATGAGACTACATTGAAAGTTTGCTCTGTTGACTGATTTTCAACGGTCACGCCAAGAGTGGCTAAAGCGTCCGGAACGTCACTCATATTGACGTGTTGATCCAGTTGACTACGTCTCCCCCGAGCCTGCGACGAAGCAAGACTAGGTGGTCGAGGCCTTCGAGAACCCTCGTTCTCCTCTTGCAGATGCTGTTGATCGCATCGACCATGAGGCTTGGCCCGTGCAAGACGGTACAGGAGCTTTTGCGCCATGCTGTTCGACGTAAGTGGAGTGTCATTGTCTCTGACATGATGTTGATCTGCAAGAACAACCAGCTCCGATATTGGCTGTATGCCGTTCGCGAACGGAACAACGTGACAGCTGCAATCAGAAGATGCTGCAGAGGCCATGGTTGAAGCTCGCGATGGGGAGGTAAAGACTTCGGAGACGTCGGTCTTGTCTGTGCAGTGTGTCGACCGTCGTGTGACCTGGCTAAAAGTTGACATGTAAGACGACAGGCTGAGGACTGAATCGTTACGACAAGAAAGCGAAGCTGCCATCTTCGACGTTGCAATGATCACAGGCCCGATGCCGGCGTTGACCATATCACTGCGAGGGGCTTGATCGGTCTCGATTCTGAGCCTATATCCTAGTCTGCTCAGAACATATCCTGGAAGACGATGAGCAAGGAATCATGGCAACAGGACGAGAAAAATACCTTTGATCCTCAGTGAATCGGAATCACGAAACATATCTTCTGGCCCGGCAATGATCGTTGTAGAATGAGACAGGTCGACACACGGTCTCGAGATATCAACCGCGACAACTTCGGGCGAGACAGGGAGAGCTTGGGCGGCCTCACCTTCGCCGTCCGTCCTGCCCTCAGTACAAGTATCCCTCATTGGAAGGTCGAACGAGGTAGCGGCTGATGGACGCCTTTCGGATGAAGTCGATTCCAGGTGCTGGGTGTCTTCCTTTGGAAGTCTCGGGGTTTTCTGTTGGCTTTCGGAGTGGTTTCTGAGTGAAGAGCTTGGGTTGCTCTCCTCAAGCGCTTTTGGCGACTTGGCCGAGATGGTACGGTCTTGGGTAGTAGTCATTTCCACTGGGGGCGATGGGGCAGATCCTCCTGTCGCAGAACGCTTTTTGATGCTTCCCCAAAGAGATCGTTTGTATTTAGACGTCTTAGATTTGAAACGGTGTCGGAATCCTTGATTCCGGGTTGACAAGCCCTTTTGATGCCTTCGGGGTTGTTGTGGATCGGCAGGACTGGTGGCGGTGTCCATCATGGCAGACCTCTGTGCAAGGTGACCATAAGAGTGTAAGCGAAGAGCCAAAACAAGGAACGTACACGCTAGAGCTCACTGGTATTTTTAGCTTGCCAGATGTGTTATTATACTTAATTGATTCGGTGAGCGCTGATGGTTCTCTGACAACGGGAGGTTTGTGGCGCCCCGAAATTGATGGATGTGAAGGTTGACAACTTAGTGAAGAAAAGACGAGGAAGATAAATGAAGACACGGGCCATCGAGAAGAGCCATATGTGGTTCGCGCACCATTCTGTGCCAGGCTGCATGGAATGCGCGATAGACTGGGCGGAGGAGCCTGGCCAACAGGCCCAGGGTGCCTTGCTGCACAATCAGTGAGATCTACTACACATCCTGCTAAACCTGCAGAGCCAAGACTTTTGTTTTGCAGGAGGTGCGAATCTGGCAAAGAGTTGTGGGAGACTCGCAAAAAATCGGCGTGGCATAACGGTGCTGCCTTTTGCTGTGCTGTCTTTTCCTCGACCCGGCACTAGTACTCGACTAGCTTTGCAACACGCTGCCATGGTGCCATTCCCACGATCGCAAATCTCACTGTGCTTCAATGACTCTGCAAAACCGCCTTCAAAAGATCAAATGGACCTCATAATCAGGCATAAAAGAAAATTATCATGGTGTCCAGTGTCATGTTCGGTTTCTCTCCTGATCATAAACCATCATCATCACCATCTGCACAAGCATCACCATCAGAGCCGGCAGCTTTTGCACAGGCATCCTCCCCGACAGACCACCACGCCCACACATACACCCATTTTCTACTTTCAACATGCCGCACAAGACTCCGCGCAAGTCCGCCCGCAAGTCCTCGCACAAGGCTTCCAGCCACACCGAACTCAACCTCGACGCCGTGAGCGAGTAAGCCCCCTTCTTGCGTGCCGGGGAAAGGCAGGGCTCCCTCTCTGACAAAGCGTGATGCAGCCAAGGTGTGGGTGACGCCCAGGTTGCCCAAGAGGCTCCCCCCAACAGTGCATCTATGGAGCGCTACCTACAAGAGCCGAACCCAGTAACTGCCAGAATCGCCCTCGGTGGTGGTGAAGAGGTGGAGTGGCGTTAATATAGGTACTTGATTGGCGTCTGGTGCACAGATGGGGCGGCTAGAATGAGCCAGCTCATGAAAGACGGCACACAGGGTGCTGGATGGTGAGGTCGGGTTCAACGGAGGCCTCATCGCCTCGTCGCCTTGACAGCTCGGTCGAGGTAGATCCCAGGGGATATCACGGCGTTGACTCAAGACGGGGGTGGGCGCACGATGACGATTGTGAGTTAGAATGAGGTATCGGTATGCACCGCCATTGAGATCAAATCGATACCTTTCGTTCCTTTCTTGTGCATCTTCACTGCAAGCGTCAAAGATGTACTTATTAGCAAAAGGCTTTCTTTCTTTCTTGGGAATCAATTGGACATTATGTATCCCCACTTGTCCCAGGACACCTGACATTGCCGTACGGCCGAACCTCCTGCCTGCATGCCCCCAATTGGACGGTTCTCGCTGGTCTGGCTTGTCTGTAATAGACCTAAATGGCCGTCTTAGCAGCTTTAAGGACGTGCCGTCGTGGGTAGAGAAGCCAACACAGAGTTGCTTTCAAAGGACTTTATGGTGATCAATCAATTTCCTGTCTATGTTAGAGTTGTATTAGATAGACTTCACTTCTTACGTAGGCCCTACCCAGAACTTTGGCTTTGCCTAAGTGCCCGACATGGTGATGTTAGTGCTTGATTTAGAGCAGAGTGACGAGGTCTTCCACACGTAATCCACAGGCAATAGGATATAGATAAGGGGCCGGAATCCATTTAAGTTCTGGCCCTCTGCAATCCTTATATAAGAGTTCTCATAGTCCTTGGCTCCCAATCTGCCCCCTTGCTAGGTGGCACCACAGAGCCACATGACAGGTAGATCCAGTCGTGTCCGCGATGCGAGCTGATTGTGGAGTACTCCAGCCTACGTGCTCTCTGTGATCGGTGGGTCCCCGTTCACTGGTAGCTCGATCACATGGCCCATATGCAACATCAATGCAACATTTGTTTATCCAAGATGGTGGTCAATATATACAGGTGAATCCTAAGAACAGGCATAACGTTCCTATGTACACGCGTCTCAGCCCGCGCCGGGGATCATCACACCAAGGCACGGCCATACCAATCCGCCTAGCATTTAAAGGCACTGCGAGTACCAAGCGTTCTGCGCCTGGCACGTGTACGGCGCAGCGCAGACCTTGGGGCCGGTCCAGCCCTGGCCGCCGCACTGGCCCCAGCGGACCTGGGTCGGGCCGGCGGGCGCCGTGGTGGTGGTGGGCGGGGCGACGGTGCTGGTCGTGGTAGCAGGCCTGGAGGTGCTGGTGGTAGCGGGCCTCGAGGTGCTGGTGGTAGCGGGCCGGCTCGTGGTCGTGGGCGCCGGCGGGGCGACGGTGGTCGTGGGCTGGGGGCTGCCGTAGAGGGCGTTGACGCGGGCGGCGTGCTGGAAGACGAGGGGCTGGGCCTCGGCGTCCTCGAGGTAGATGGTGAAGCCGTCGTCGTGGTTCTTGCCGTACGAGTAGCCGCCAAAGCCAAACTGCCAGTAGAGGTCGGGCATCTCCTCGCGCAGGGAAATGTCCTGCCAGCGCGAGAGGACCTCGACGCGGCCGAAGGGGCTGGTCTGGCCGAGGTACTCCTGGCGCTTCGAGGGCGTGAGCCAGCCGTACTCCTCGTGGATGACGGGCTTGCCGGCGGCGCGGGCGGCGACGGCGTGGTCGACGATCCAGGTATCGGTCCAGGCGGGCGTCTTGGACCACCAGTCGGGGTACGAGTGGAAGGTGCCAAAGTCGACGTTGGGGAGCTCGAGCTCGGCGTCAAAGTCGTTGCCGTCGGAGCCGTTGTACGCCCAGTCGGAGGAGGCGCGGTTGAAGTGGCCCTCGGTACCAGTGGTCACGAGATGGTTGGCGTCAATGGACTTGATGTACGTCGACATCTCGTCGAGCCAGTCGATGATCAGGTCGGTCGTGCAGGCCGGGCCGCGGGGCAGGTTGCGGGTGCCATCGGCGCCGCAGCGGGCCTCGTTGGCCACCTCCCAGGCAAAGATGGCCGGGGAGTTCTTGTAGCGGCCGACGACGGTGGAGACGTAGTTCTTGAAGGCCGTCTTGATGGCGGGCAGACGGTAGAACTGGGGAGATTAGTATGGAACCACAGAGAACCTGAGGGCAGCACTCACATCGTCGTGGTAGCGGCCGCCGCGGTTGACGGTGTAAACATCCATGCCGCCGTAGTCGGCCCAGTTGTTGGTGAGGGCCAGGATCAGCTTGATGCCAGTGTCCTCGGCAGCCTTGACGACAATGTCGAGAAGCTTGAGGTCGATGGTGACGGTTCCATCGGCGTTGAACTTCTGGAAGATGGTCGCCTCACCTCCGGTGCCGTAGCGGGGCAGGCCACCAGAGATGGTCGTGGCGTTCTGGTCGTGGAAGGCCCAGGTTCGGATGACCTTGAGGCCAGCGTCGAGAGCGGCGTCCATGCCGACGACGACGTCCGAGTAGTGGTCGGTGCCCCACTAGTGATGCTCATTAGTACCTTACAAAGCCATGGATCAAGTCTAGCTTGGAGGCTTGCATACCACATTGAAGGGCCAGTAGTAGGCGTTGCTACCGGCGAAGATGAAATCCTTGCCGTCGACCTGGAACTTGTTGCCCTTGGTCGTGGCGAAGCCGGCAGGCACCTGCGCAGCGACCTGCTGGCCGGCGAGGGCCAGGGCCAGAGCGAGAATGGAGGAACGCATTTCGACGGTGAGAAGGATGTCTCGAAGAGTGGTGGCTGTTCTCCTGGCTACGAAGATGCAGTAAAGAGATGCTCGCTACCAGTCGACGCCCATGCTGGACGGTATTTAACATGGCCTTTGCCCACTCTTCGTGAGGGCATTCAGACCAGAAGGGGCAAGCCCGGAGACGGATGAGCCGGACCCCTCGAGCGTGGCCGATCGCCAAGCCGAGCGGCGATGGGCCGTCATCCTGCTTTCGGGGGGCACGGAGGAGGGCGGCCGGCTTTGGTAGACTGATGGTGGCGGAGTATGAACTCAACGGGGACTGGCGAGCGACTGGGGCTATCGCTTGGTCCCGGATCTGCAGGGTTGGCGCAGGCTCCATGCTCTCGGTGGGGATGAGGCCATGAGGGGGCGGTCTTGGCGCATCACGGTGGTGTGGTGGCTGCTATGGGGTTGGGCGATGTTGGTAGGACAGTCATTTGGGCGTCGACTCCACCAGGGATCGGGGATGTTTGGTCGAGAAGGTTCAGATGAACGGGTTTCTTATGGGCGGCTTGGTGTCGATCTTGCGATTTGTCTGATCGTCTGTTTCCAGACAGATGGGAGTGTCCATTTCGTAACCGTTTTAGTTTTCCATCCTTGAATGCGAACATTCAAGGCTCGCATCGGTATTCGTAGCAGGAGGTAGGTAGCTAGTCCACGATAACCTTGGCGACGATTGGACATCGTGACAAGTTTGCAGGGGTATTGACTCATGTCGGGCAAGGCCCAGAAGGGACAGCGGGAGAGGCCGAATTGGCGAGTGAAGCCGATTTGCGCTTGGTACAGGCAGTACTTGCGAGATGAGGCAGTTTGCGCTCAAAAGCAGGCTGACGTCGCTGAAGCAGAGAGGCGTCTTGGGAATGGAGGGCGTTGATGAAGTATTAGTAGCCGGGTGCCCCCCCAGGGGCCTGACATGCCAACCTCGAACCATCCCACCTCGGATGCCCATCAGACACGATCCAGATCGGTGTAGCCCAGGGTCCTTGAGCTTATCGTTGGTAGCGAAGTTTGACGGAGCAGATGACGCTGCATTGGCTTGCCATTGGGCCGGGACACCTAGAGCATCTGGGATCATCATGCTCGTTATCGTCGGCGGCAGGATCCGTCGGACAGGTGGATAGGCCGTCGGTTAGGCAAAGGGACCGTCGGACAGTAGTCGAGAGGACGGGAGTCTGGACCCTGGATCCGATGCGTCTGGGGAAGGATGGAGCGGAGAAAAATGCTGGCGTGTGACCTGGTGCCTGGCGGCCGCCCGGTGAGGTTCGGTCTGTGTCTGGTTGGGCGGGTTGGCGGGACGTTCAGGGCATCGTGGGCAGCCCCAGCAGGCCTCTCGACAGCCCAGGCAGGCCCTCGAAGCTGTATCCGGCTTAGTGGGTTCGGCTCAAGAGGCCCGCGTCCCCTTCTGGGTTAGCGCTGCCCTGTCAAGATTGCGCTCCCCGCTTCGATAAGAACACGTGGAGATGTTTGGCGATGCGATAAGAGAATAGCGCGATCCGCGAGGCTCCAGATGCTGAAGAATAAAAGTGCCACGCCGCGCTGACGCCTCGGCGTGGAAGGGCTGGCGTGTTCTGGAGCTCTGCGACTTCGACTCAGACTGCGACTGAGACTTGCGACCGTGCACCATCTGCCAAATTGATCGTCGCCATCGCATAACGACCCCTCATTTGCGCCAATCTACCACCGACACTCTCGATAGTACCTCCTTTTACTACCCTCATTGCAACCCTTCCCCGCCCCCGGTGCCACAGTCAAAATGGTCGTCGCCCTCCTCACGAACGCGGCCAACCGCGCCATCGACATCGCCAACACGCTCGAGCCCCTGCAGCGCATGGGATTCCTCTGGACCTGGTGCCTCGGCGGAATCCTCTTCGCTGTGCAAATGTCCCAGATTGGCGAGACGACCCAGTGGACCAAGCTGACCCGTGAACAAACGTGCGTGCTTCTTCTTTCTGTCCTGCCAGCCCCGGTCCAGCGCGAGAAACCAGACTGACAGTTCGCAGACCCTACTGGCTCACCTTCTACGGCTTCCAATTCGTCATGCTCACCTTTGGCGCCTTCCCCGTCTTCCGCGACCGCCTCGACGGTCTCTGCTTCGGCTACGAGGAGAACGTTCTCAACGGCATCCTCATCGGCTTCATCACGCTCGAGGCTGCCCTCGTCTTCTACGCCACCTTGCACTTCCTCACCCGCGGCGGCCGTGTCGCCGCGCAGCCGAAGAAGGCCTAGTCGGTGGACGATGATGACGATGCATGCGATGGTCACGACCATGACACCGGATGGGTAGACGGACAAGTGTGACTAGATGGAGGGTTGCTGTGGTCGACGAAGATCGATGCACTCCCTGATCTGGGCCTGTTCATAATTGGAGATGACTGAATATACAGATCTCATACTACATGGTACCTTGACGTCTGCGAGCCTGGATGCGTCGTGTGCGCCAATCCTCTAGTACTTTGGTTGGTCGACAATCTCTATTGTGCGTCCATTGACATGGTTACTGCTACATGACCGACTGCGACTGACTCGCCTGTTGGGCGTGCAAGTTCATCCAATGGAAGCGTGGAAATACATGGCGCTATCGTACCAGAACCCCAGCCAGCATCGTACTCCCATCAACGGCTCATCAGAACTTGAACGAGTCGCAATGATCCATTTGGAACACCATGTATGCTTAAAAGGCTCTGCAACCAGACCGCCAGACGTTATCAATATACGCAATGGGGCGGCCTGATATTTCCTCTTCTCAAGATTCGACATACTAGCGAACAGCTATTAGATAGAAGACAGCCAGATACATCATGAATTCCGTGTCTTTGAGTTCAGCCTACCCAACCCTTTATTGCGGCTACTGGCAACCGGGGAGGTTGCTGAGAAGGACAGCAATATCGCGGTTCCTGCCCACATTCCTCAGCGGCGCACTTCGGTTATTAAACAGCAATTCAACCAGCCCGACCGTGATATCGTTCATCGCACCCTCAACCCTCCTGCCGTCCAGCGTGCCAAATATGGCGTCCACCCGAGGCTGCGACGCCGCCGGGACCCGATACGCCGTCAGGAGCAGCGGTATGTCGGAAAAGGCGTAGTGTTTGGTGCCCCTCATCGCCGACTGCATCTTGGCGCCCTCGAGGTTGCCGTAAAAATCCTCCCAGAACGGCACCGGCGCCGAGTCGTTGCCGATGGATTGGGACACGAGCACGAACGGTTTGCCCTCGAAGCCTTCCGCGTCCACCGGGGGGAGGATCGGGCCGTCGAAATTGATGCCGCCGACGACGCGGGCGTCGCGGTGCGCGGCGGCCGCGGCGGTGGCACCACCGAACGAGTGCCCCGAGACGACGATTCTGTGGGGGTCAAAGGTGCCGGGAAATCTTCCAAAGAGGAAGTCCGTGAGCGTCTTGTTGGAGAGTTGGGAGATGAGGAAAGCTCATCAGCAGTTCGGACCTGGGTACATCAACCTTTGTGTTCCTCTTGTGTCTGCTCGCTGTAGCAGTGGTCTTTTGGGCTGCGGATGACCTCGAGTCCTTCCAAAGTGACTGTAGAATTTGCTAGCTCCGGATCAGATGAGAATGCAGCGCTTCCGTCCGGGAACTCTACCACCGCGGTCTCGTAGGTGTGGTCGAGCACTAAAATAATATGACCCAGGCTCGACAGCAACCTCGCCATCGCACTATACATGAACCTTGTACCGCCCAGACCAGGCGAGAACACAACCAAAGGGAATTCCTCTTTTTCGGCGGTTGCATCCAGGTCTACTGTCGAGATGTTGCAGAATGCCATCTCAAAAGACGAGACCATCGCTTGCGGTAAGCCGAGCAGCTCCGCAGGCCTCGCAAAGACGCTGGCCGTCAGAGGAGGCATGTATGGCACTACCTGCGACTCGCAAGCCATACTTTGATTCGATTGGGAGAAACACTGAGGCCATGAACCGGCGCGTTGTATTGGCCTCGGGCGCGAACGGGTCAATGCGATTTTGGTCAACGAGCTCGATATGCTCGATGGCAACGCCGTAAGGACTGGGTGGCTGGGGAACTTGAACGGCCCTTGCAACCTCGAAGACGAATATAAAGCTTAAAAGAAGCATTCTGATTTTGTAGTGAGAGTTGATTTTCATTTAGTTGTCAAGGGTGTTGTTGTTGGTATTGGTCCCACTGGTGCTGTTCGAGCTCGTGCTTCTCAAGCCATCAATGTCGTTGACCTTGTGTTCATCCATCTTTCCAGCAATATATCGCACAACATGATGTGATTGTTGAGCTTTCGCAATTCATTCGGTGTCAAGAGTTTCAGGCTGGCATGTCGCAACATTGAGAAGCTAGTGGTTGATTCGTAATGCTCAGCCACTGAAGGATCACGGCGCCGAGAATGACGCCCTCGTTGAAATGACCTTTTGGCAAAACCTGAACCCCCCAACCCGTTCACCTGCTTCATTCGGCATTCTGTTGCCTGATTTCCTTCATCATGATATCATGTGCGCACCACCGGTGGTTTGCAGCGAGGGCGTAGCAACAACACGTCACTGCTTCTCAGCACGGAGGGCCGCGCAAGCTCCCACGACTTCTTGCTGGAGAAAGCGCACTCAGATACCAAAACCCTTTACGGAGAATCGTTAGGGTCAGGCACGCGTGGCGGTAGACGCGCAACCCGAGAGTGTGAGATCATATGTCAGATCACGGCGTAGGCAAGTTGTGATAAGCCAACACGTCACTAAATGAGTTCTTGCAATCAACAAAACTGCAGACTTGAAAGAGTAGGCCATTTCTTGTCCTGCCTACGATTGGTGGGATGCAGGTTCCCAGGGATGAACATGATCAACGCAGGCACCAGACTATCTTGTGCAAGGGAAGGCAGGAAAGACAAGGTTTTGCAAGCCCAACGACATCTTGATGAGAAGTCAATTTTCATAGGAGCGGGGTTGTAACAGCAAGTCCCTAGAGATCAGTCCAATCCAGTGGCTTCTTTAGCCTTCCGTCGTGGACTTTCACGTTTGTCACTGTTACGGGCTAAACTCGTTGACGTTGTAGAAGCCTGGAGCCTACGCCGTTCCCCTATGAATGCAGCCCATTGAATCAACGATGTTGGTCCAACAAGTATCTTTTTGACTCGATTGAATAGCTGCCGTAAGGCACTTATGACTGTTTGAGGGCTGCTACCGGTCTCTTCGGGGCCGACGTAACAGTCATCGACGATCGACTTGACCATACTACTACTGTGAGATCCCAAAACCGAAATTGAATATCAAATTTGACCACCCGGCATCAGTAATCAAAATCGCACGGCTTCATTTCTTCGAATCTTTAGCCCAATAACGCGCCCATTCGAGACACTTCACTCGCTTCATCACTCCTGTCATGCAGATTTCGGGACTCGCATTCAGTTGGCTTAGAAAATCCAGACTTACAATTTCTCTTTCTCATGTAGCTTTGTAGCTATGTCCTTTGCCCGACTCTTAATCGTCGTCGTACATGTATATTCTCTGAATGACGCAGCGCTCTACGTTCAGTGAACTTTTTTCCAAGGTCTGAAGTAACCAAAAGAGAGGACTGAGCCCAGCGTGGAAGAATTTATATGGTAGTCTAATGGATCAAGTCTCAGGGAAAGGCGCCGACTGCCTATCGAGAGACCCTGAATAGACAAACAATTGATCCCTCACTTGGGGTGCGAAGCTTCTTTGACACTCTTGAATCTCTTAGCAAGGTCCTTCTGGAGGGCCGGTCGAGTAATAGTTCCGTTTATGGTGGCTTTATCCTTTCAGTCGCCGAACATGTCTTCTAAGTCCAGCCTCTTTTAGTTTCTGGCAGAACTTCAAATCCCTGCAACCTTCATGGCCTAAAGCTGGATTCACAGTACAACCAATTTCGAACTGTGCACAGAAAAGGCATCGTGAAATGGGGCATCTTCTCAACTGTTTCACAGTAGCTTTCGATTTTTACACCGCATGGTCAGTGCTCCAAGTCCTACGATGATTATCCCACAGTACCAGCTCCTACTCATCGGCAGGGCTGCAGAGTCACTCTTGGCGCCATCTGCCGAGCTTTGGTCCGTCCAATTGCTTGAATCGACCATGTGAATGAGACTAAAATAGATGGACGCTCAGAATGAGGGCAGCAGCATGAAGGTCGTGGTGCGCCACCTTGATCGCCCTGTCCACTCGTATCTGCATGTGCGTGAACAGACAGGAAACAATGGTGCATATTGCGCATCCCCTTGCTGATCATGCGGCGGCTTGCTCATGTACTCCGCGATGCTGCTCTTCGCATGCATCTTGGGTGTGGCATCCATGATCCGGCAGAGACGAGGATATATCGCGACAGCGGAGTTCAACTGCATCGGTGCAAACATCGGCTGATGTCGAACACCAGCCCTTTTCAGCCTCGGGTCATTGCTGCGCATCTAGCCATGTGTCTTGCGAAGCATATTACAGGTCTCCCAAGTGGCGGCAGTTGAGGCGACTGTCATGAGAAACGCACTTCTCACTGTGTACCAGATTGCTAGCCTCCCTCAGAAGCAGCGTCTTGGCTGCTGCACAGCAATCGCGTCTCCGAGAAACCGCCTGATCGAGCCAGCGCAGCACGGCGAAAACAGGGGGACACGGCTGGTGCTGCTTGCGGTGTTCCTAGAGTGGGTGGGCGCATGACACAAGCGTTGACACAGGCTCACACAGGCGTCGACACGGGAGCGCAGAGTTCAGGTCCGTGGGACGACGGCGGTCGTTGAGTGGACCAGACGCCGCGGAACACACGGGTACGCGTGTCGGGTTCCTCGTGTGACGTTGATTCTCGCGATCGGCCATTTGTCCCTTCTTCCTTCGCGACACGTCATTTTCGAGGGTCTAGGGAGCCCCCTCCCCCTCCGCCGTATGTTGTCAGTGCCTATTCGCGTATGGTGGGGGCGCAGTCGCAGGCGCAGAGGCCTAGATGGAGCTGAAAAGCGGAAGACGGAGGTTATGAGCGAATAGAATGGCTAGAGATGGCAAAGTGCCGAACAGGCGACAGGGGGCGCTGTTGTGGTCATTGCACATGTAGCAAACTGGAGGAGCCGCATCCATGAGTGAGACGACGGCGTGCGATGAGACTTTCCGTCGAGGTCTCTCGAAGCTTTATGCCTTGGCACTTTACTTGCACTTTGCCATGGGCTTCTTCTGTCATGCCGAGATGGACAACCGTGGCAGTGCGTATCCCTGTGCTCGCAGGCTGGACTGCCGATTGGGTTGCAATTGATCTTCGTTTCCAAGGGGGGCCAAGCCAGCGTCCCATTTGCAATCTCTCCCTTGTCTCCTCCACTTTAGGCCCCCAAATGCCAGGAGGATCCTATGGATCACTCTCCATTTAGAGTGCGAACGGAGTGGGCCATGACTGTTGTTAGTGAATGTTTTCGTTCAGGCTTGGCGGGTCATAATCTGGCCACTCTGCCGAAGCCTTTGACCCAAGGAGCCCAGGAGTTGGGATGCATGTCAGATTTTCCGCACACGGCCCCAGCCAGGCGGGAAATGTGATAGGGGCCACGCAAACCTGCCGGAGATGCTGAGCTGGACCGAATTGAGTTGACGGACATCATGCTAGACGGACGTTTGCCAAGTGATGCGGGCCGCGCTCACGCCTGGACAAGGCTGTCCTGGGATCTATTCTATATGGAGTCCTGGACTTAAGTTTAGGCTCCAGCGATTCGACCAGGACGCCAGATGGAGGCGAAAGCAGGGAGCCATACAGACTCGGAGCAAAACAGCATGCCGAAGCCGTTCCTAGTACACATGTGCGACCACACGGGCTGTACTTGGTACGGACAGAGGCATTGATTGACAGCCGTCGCGACACCGGATCTGTCTGATCGGCGTCAACATCTGCCCTTCGAGCAGCATAGCCTAGGCTGACTTGTTTCGTCGAGCCCAAGCCGACATCACTCCGGCCCAGAGCTGACGACAACAAAACTCCCCCAACCCACGACAAGAGAAACTCAAATCGCATGCATCCACCTCTCTCGCAACGTCCCCCTAAACGGCAGCCTGGAGTACCGGTGGAGCACTGCCGTGTTTTCCACATGGCGGAGCCTGTTGTTGGTCGTTGTTTGCGTGGCCGAGCCTCCCATTCCGCAGTGCGAAGCATGTTTCTTCGTCTGTAGCCCGCTTTCCACTGGCCGCCTCGCCCGCACCATGCCCGAAATCCTGCTGCCTGTCAGGTGAGACGACCATAAGTGATACACTGCGGTACTCACAGTGTGACCACAACTGTTGACAGGAGCTGGTTCTACGCCTGTAGCTGAGCTGGCTCCACGCCTGTCCTCTTGCCGGCTGCCATGGACGGTCTGTTGGGCACATGGCAGACCGTGCCATGACGGAGGCTTTGTTACGTCTTTTGATGTCGATGTCCCCCCCCCCCCCTTCCCAGCTGTCTGGTCTTTCTTCCTGTGCTACACATTTCCCTCTGTTTAGGTGCTCGTCTGTTCCGAGGACGGCTCGTATGTATTGCCCTGACTTCTTGCGGCCCATGACCCTTGCGAGCCTGCTACGCCCCCTGGCATCGACATGTCACCGAGCCTCCAACTGCCATTGCTAGATGGTGACGAGCCCCGCGGCGAGTACGAGCCACTACACCTCAAAGGCCGCCCCAGCAGACCCCGCGAGAGGAGCCTTCTCTGGCTCAAGGCCATTACGACCGCCGTCCTCGTTCTCATCGCCATCTTGGTCTTCTTCTTCCCAGACGACGCCCGACACTACCTTCACCTCCCGCCTCCCTCCTCAGGCCATCACACGCCAACCCGCGACCGCATCCAGGACATTGTCACGTCCATCATCGGCAGCGCGCCCTCGCCACCGCACAACACGACGGCGGAGACCATCCCCAACACGGCCCATTTCGTCTACATCCTCCAAGACCCCGACGCCGACTTCCACTTTG